CCGCGTTGGGGCCCGGAAAACAGTGACCCCGGGACCTCGAAAACCCCCGCGTTTGGGGCCGTTTGGAACCAAAGGCCCCCCTACGGCTCCGATAGCGTTTTTCTTTAACGGGCCCCACCCCTGGGCCCCGGATGACGACCCCGCGCTTGGCCGGCTCGAAGTAGACCGGGACCGCGCAACGCTTGCTGCGGTTGCCCCGGGCGTCGGAGTGGTGCGACCAGCGTCTTCCCGCGGGCCGACATCCTTCTGGATGAAAAATCGGCCCTCCCCGGGTAAGGGGTGGTTCAGGGGTTGAGCGTTGAGGCCCCCCCCTCAACCATCTGGTTGACGGTTGAGACCCCCCTTTAGTTGTTTGTTGAGGGCTACGCCTATTCACAGGCTCGCGCGTGATCACAAGATAAACTGGATGTCAGGAGACGGATACAAGTCGATGACAATGTGCGCGGCAGGACAAACCAAACATGAGACGGTTACACAAGGACGGTCAGGCTACGGTCAGGAAGTAGGTTTGAGTTCACACTCTCCAACACTCCCCCATTGTCTCCGCAGTCTTCATGAATGAGGATGCGGCAGACAACAACAGCAGAGTGTGAATGTGCCTGAGCGTAGGTATGCCGGTTACCCGCCGTAAAAGCCGCCGAGGCTCGCTGCACCGGGCGGTCACGATTTCGAAAGGCAGCGAACGCAGGCGGCGGTGGCATAGGGGCACGCACCCACAACACCGAGGCGCGACAAGAGACAACCCAACACACAACACGGACAGAGGCGGTGGCGTCTCGGGCGACGGCGGTGGGGGTAAGGGGCGCGGCGTCTGGCGGTGCACCAACGGCGACGTCTACGAGGGCGAGTACAAGGCGGGTCTGGCGGAGGGGCGCGGCGTCCTCCGGTGCGCCAACGGCGACGTCTACGACGGCGAGTACAAGGCGGGTAAGTTTCGAGGGGCGCGGCGTCTACCGGTACGCCAGCGGCGAGGTGGAGTCGGGCTTCTACAAGCAGGATGCCCCCGTCGGCGAGGGCGTCATGTGGCTGGCGGACGGGCGGCGGGCGAAGCGGCTGCGTGACGGGGAGTGGGAGGAGGAGATCTCGCTGGAGGAGGCGCGGCAGACCGCCGAGCGGCTCGGGCTCCCCATCCCGTCCCCGCTGCCCGGCGCGTCCGAGGAGAAGAGAGATTCTAGTGGCGACTGCACGTGCAGACAGTATTTCTCTTCACAATGTTGCAAAAACAAACTTTGGCGAGCCAACGCAGCTTACACATCGGTCATCGCGGCAGTCGAGGCTCGAGCTCGTAGTCTTCCGTAGCCTGCAGCGCGAACTCGGAGCCCGAGCCGCAGCGCGAACTCGCCGTCTGAGCCTAGGGCAGCGCGAACTCGCTCCTGTCGTAGCCGGCACTTGGAGCACTTGGAGTGCAGTCATCAACCGCACATCCAGGGCCGGGGAGCTCAGAAGCGCACCCAGCGGGCCGGATGATTGGCATCGGGTTGCGGGCAAGAGAGCCCTAGCCCTGGGGGTGCGCGTTCGCAGGGCAAGGGCCGTAAAGTAAACACGGGTCTCCGAGGGTTGGCCCCGCGTACCGGGTTTCCCCTTAACTGCAGGACGCCCCCTCTACTCGGAGCTAATGAACACCACACTGCACGCCCCACCCCGGGGGTGCGCGGTCGCAGGGCCATAACACGTCTCCGAGGGATGGTTCCGTGTACCGGGTTACCCCTTAACTGCAGAACGCACCCTCTTCCTCGACCGTGGGGGGGTGCGCAGTCGCAGGGCCATGTCGCAGATTTTTTTCACGCGCCACGATCGCGAGCATGAGATTGCTGTTGCTCGTGCTCGCGCTCTCATCGAGCGCCAGCGCGGAGCTGCTCGGCACGCTGAGCGGGGCGATCAAGGGCGTGGGCGATGGCCGCGTCGCGACTGTCGCCTGCTGCGGCGCGAGCAAGATCGGCGCCTCCACGGTGCTGAGCGCCGCGGCGACAAAGCCGGTGGAGGTGATGCCGGGCT